TACTTGAACTGTGTGCCTGGAAAATACATAATATCCCCACTTGAAAAGTTAACCAATCTGTTGGATATTTTATTTTCTTACATTTAGTACTTCATCTCTAGGCTTTACTCTTGTTTATTTGCAGGTGAACTGTGAGACAGATTTTGTTGCTCGCAATGAGATGTTCCAGCAGCTGGTGAAAGATGTGACTTTAGCCAGCTTAGCTCACCATCAAAGTAAAAATCAAAGCCATGCTGGATATGTAAAGGTAAGGAAGCCCCTTTAAAACAGAAAATACAAATTCATCCCATTTACATTTCTTTTGATCTGTTATTTTAGGTGTTTATAGACTCTTAAAGTGTCTCCCTTTAGTAATGTGGAGAAATGTTTCTCAAAATGTCCTGAWGCATTTCAATAATCAAGATATAAAAATCTAAAAGAGCTGAGTAGGTCCTAGACTTATTACTTGTTATTACCAAGAGTGTAGTTTACAAAATCACCATTATACTGTATCAAATATTTCATTATACAAAACTTTTTTCTATGTTTAATGTGTTTTGTTTGCTTTTCCCAGAGTTTACTGGTTGGTGATGAGTTAAGCAAACTCAGTATGGGTAACAGACCTTCACTAGCCGACCATGTGGCTTTCACAATAGGTCAGTAAGAAATTTCAGATGTGTTTCTCATAAGTATCACTGCTTGATTACGTTTAAACATTTCCAATTTCAGATATTTTGCGCATATTCCATACCATCATCATGCCAAGCTTTTTTAAAGTAAATTGTGTCTGAACTATCACTTAACTGTTTTCCTTTTAGCCTGTTGTCATCCCTCAGTGCAATATAATACGTATAGGAGAGCTGCTGAATACATGTTTATCGTGTGTTTTTTTATAAATTAGATTTGTAACATCGTTAGCTTCTCCTATCTCCTATTTACTAAAGAGATAGTTTATGCTCATTAATTTTCTGGTGTCAGTAATGATGATTGTGATGAGAGCCAGATGTTTTTTATGTGTATATTTGCCAAAATGAACAAAGCAAAAATGTAATGACCCAAAAAAAGTGTGT